AATGTAAAGAGGGCTGGGCATATGGCTCAGGGGTGGAGTGTTGGTGTAGCATGTGTGAGGTCCTGGTTCAATCCCCAGCCCTGGGGAGAAAATAACAACACAAAACAGTAGCTAGGATCCATGGCTCAGGCTTGAAAGGGATTTTTTTGGTTTTTGTTTTGTTTTCTGTGGATCTGTTAGATTACTTGAAGGGAAAGCAGCCTGGGCAGTGGTGGCCCAGTAGAGAATGCACCAAGATCGTGTTCTACCTTTGACATATGTTCTACAGATTACTGGTGCTGCTGATTATGCAATCCAGGTGGTGGCATTTGTCCTTGGCTTTTCTAGTTTTCATCTTTGTGGCATGTTCGAATCCTGCTATCTATTCAGAGTTCCTGAGCTCAGCTGGGAACCCTCACAGCTCTTGCAGTCTGCTCATTCTCTTCTCCCTACCTCCTCCCCTGGGCTCTCAACATAGCCTGGGCAAACCGGAGGTACAGACAGATGAGGTCTAAGTGTGCAGAATTAACATCTACACAGGCGCACTCCTTTCTCAGATAAATGTAAGTATAGTTTGTTTCCCTTAGAAATTCTTATCTATTACCTGACTCATGCATGGTAGTTCCACTTAATGCCCCACTAGAGCCATTATTTCTTTTTGGAAAGTGTGAATCAGATAATACATTAAGTCAACTGATAAAGGAGAACCTGTGATTATACCCTGCTTTACTTTGGATAATAATGATTAGCCATATATTAAATCAGATTAGCATATACAATTTAAAACATAGCAGTTGATAATTGAGGAAGAAGCACAATTCACCAGGCCATTTTAGGGACTCTAAAGTCTGACAGAGTATTGTTCTGGTTAGAATACTACACGATTCTGTTATATTAGTAATTGGAATGGTGTTCTATCTTGTGGGGCTATAATTTGAAATAGCCATTAACATCTCTTTTTTTTAACATAGCCCAGGCAGGCCTCGAACTCCCCAGTGCTGGGATTACAGGCGTGTGCCACCATGCCCAGCTTGGTTTTACTTATTTTTTAAAGAAAGGAAAATTGTTAGATGCAACTGGTGCAAATAAAAATTAACAATAAGAAAAGGAGTGGAAAACCATGAGAAACTAATTTTCCTAGATTGTTAAAGTCTTGCAGTTACATGCACTGGAAGCTGGTTTTGTTGCATTCTTTTTTTGTTTTTTTTTTTGGTACCAGGAATCGAAGTCATGACCTCAGGCTTGCCTGGCAAGTGCTTATGCTGCTGAGCTATATCCCCAGCCCCCTAATTTATCTTTCAAGTGACCAAAACACAGTGATAACAAAAGGTCTGTAGGATAGATTACCAAACATCAGAAAAGGGTTGTGCCCACTTTGTACTGGCAGTGGAGAGGGATTTTTGAGAGTAAATTGTAAGCGTCCACATGGGCTGGCGTAAGGGGCTGATGTATACATTTTCTTTACATAAAGACGAGCAAAGGTGATTTCCTAGAGAGTTGCGTTTTTACAAAGTGTAAAAACCTAGATGTAGCTGGGTGTGGTGGTGCACATCTTTAATTCCAGCACTCAGGAGGCTGAGGAGGAGGATTGTTGTGAGTTTGAGACCAACCTGGGCTACAAAGTGAGCTCAAGGCCAGCCTGAACTGCATAGTGAGACCCTGTCTCAAAAAGACAAAAAGAAAACCTAGACATACCCTTATGGATTTCATTAAGTATTCAAGATAAAGAAAAAACCCTTTAAGGAGGAAAGACAAGTTATCTTTAGGGAAGAACAAATCAGATTATCAGATTTATCTTCTCTCACACTAAAATACTGGAGAATGTCAGCCTAAGTGCTGTTGGAAGTGGAAGAGATACAGAAGGTTGGTTTGCACAGTAAAGCCAAGTGAAATTAATCTAGGATTAACTCTGTAGAATCCAGTGAAATTAATCTAGAATTAACTCCAAATAATTATGATTGTAGTTGTGAACCTTATTGCAAGTAACAAATATTTTTGAACAATTGAAAATCATAAAAAGTAATATGGATCCAAGTGTTAGATCATTTAAAGAAAATCAGAGGGGGCTGGGGATTTAGCTCAGCAGCAAAAGCGCCTGCCTGGCAAGCGCAAGGTCGTGAGTTCGGTTCCCGGTACCGGAGAAAAACCAAAAACCAAAAAAAAAAAAAAGAAAATCAGAGATGTTGGACTGTAGGAAGAGCATAATTGACAGAGGTTTTATTAATATGTGCTTTTATATTAGTAAAAAAGTACGTTAGAACATTTTTTTAAAAATATTTAAGGCCAATCCTCAGTAAAATAGAAATGGCTTTCTTATTTCTAAGGTAATAAAGTGGAACAAGGACAACTTGATTATTATAGCAAAGGACATGGGAAAAGAAAATAACAATTTTTAAAAAGGAACATAATATATAGAAAACAACACTTTTTAACCACTTTTGTGTCAGAGCAGAAATCAAGACTGCTGTGACAGACTTTAAAATTTAGTCAAAATCTTTGGTTAAAACAAAGGGAGATAGAAAGAATATTAGTGAATCAAGCATTTAGGCAACAAAAGAAAAACAAAATGAAACAAGGCTTTAGAAAGAAGGAACATGGGGCTGGGGATTTTGCTCAGTGGCACAGCACCTGCCTGGCAAGAGCAAGGTCGTGAGTTTGATTCCCGGTACCGGAGAAAAACCAAAAATTAAAAAATAAAAAATAAAAAAAATAAAAAAAAAAAGAAAGAAGGAACGTATAAAAACAGAAGGCAGAAATGGAGTTAGCAGCTTCTTTCCACCGTCAAAATAAATAGGTCATTTTAATTCTGGTGCTAGTCCTAAAATTCTGTTACCAGCAGGTATCATTTTAGAAATACAGTATAAAACAAAGCATCTTCTTCTGCTCATAATCTCAGAATTCTAATATATTATCTGTCAACAGATGTAATGTAGAAGTAAATATGAAACAAAATGCCATTCTCAAGTTAATTCTGTGAATTAAAGATGGTCAATTTAAGAGAATGTAATATTATACTGTCATTCATTAAAGGAGAAAACAATATATTATTGATATTAAAATAGCCACAGGAAATTTTAAAAATTTAAGAATAAGCTTAATAAGAATGTGTTGAGCTGGGCACAGTGATGCACCCCTGTAATCCCAGCACTCTGGGAGGCTGAGGCAGTAGAATCACAAATTCAAGCCCAGCCTGGACAACTTAGTGATTTAGTGAGATCCGGTCTCAAAAAAAAGAAAAAAAGAAAAAAAGAAAGAAAGAAATGTGTAGGGCTGAGCATGTAGCTCAGTGCAGAGGCCCTGGTATCTTTAAAAGCCATGCTTTGACAGCTTTCTGACCACTTGTTCCCCACTGAGGAAGACAGTAATGGGCTCAATCCCTACTACTGAGAGAAGAAAGTATTCAGTTTGTTATTTTTTAAAAAGTAGAACTGTACTGATAAGACTTCAGTGGAGAAACAAATCCAATCCCTGGTGGGAGAGTAGATATTGCAAAGATATCAGTTCTCTTTAAATTGATGCATATTTATAATGTAATTTTTAAAAATAGGCCAAAGAAAGTTTAAATTTAAGGTTTATCTGCTGGGCATGGTGGTACATGCCAGTAATCCCAGCACTTGGAAAACTGAGGCAGGAGGATTGCTGTGAGTTCGAGGCCAGCCTGGACTGTATAGTGAAACCCTGTCTCATGAAAGACCAAAAAAAAAAAAAAAGGAGAAAAAAAAAAAAAAAAAAAAAAAAAAAAGTTTATCTGAAAGAGTAGGCAGTGCAGAAGAATCAAGACATTTGAGGACAGAAAAAGATAATATTAGTGTGTTTTTGTTGTTGTTTTTGTCTTTTTGAGACAGAGTCTCACTGTGTAGTTGAGGCTGGTCTTGAACTCACTTTGTAGCTCAGGCTGGCCTCCAACTCACAATGATCCTCCTACATCAGCCTCCCAAGTGCTGGGATTACAGGCATGTGCCACCACGCCAGGCTCCAGTACTAGTGTTAAGTAAGACACAAACCTTATCTTTAGTTTTTGTAGAATTGTGTTGTCAAGATGGGCTCTTAATTGAAGAGTTCTGTTGTCAGAGGGTCACCAACAAATACTTAGAAAGGTACTTACAGTCACTGAAGGATGGTCATCACATTGCTTTTAATAATTAGGAAGATTGGGAATCTAGGAGATAGGACAAAATAAATTGTGATGCATCCTATAACCGAAGATGCTGCTTTTATAGTTGCTATGCTGTCAGTGTGTGTGGCTCCCCATATCCATACGCTGAAACCATTCCTAGTCCAGTAGCAGTAAGAGGGAGACCTGTGGGAGACGGGGCAGGAACCTCAATTGTAGCTGCTGGCGCCTGCTTCCCTGTTAGCATGCGAGGGCCCAGACACCAGCGCTGCAGTGAGTCCTGTCTCAGGGTGAAGGCGCTGCCCACCGACCACCACCTTCTCCTTTGTTGAAATTTCTGTCTTCACTCTCTCCGTGGGCTTCAATTCGTACTTCAGATCCTTCCTGAGTCCAGGGGACACACTTCCCTCCTCCTTGACTTGCACTCTGAGTAACTAATTTAAAGATAACTACACAATGCATTAACCATTGTTACTGTCCTATTATCTTGTTTTGAAATTTTGGGTTTTTTTTTTCTCTTTACAAAAAATATTTTTTAATAAGAAAAGGTGGAAATTTTCAACTTTAGGAAAGAAAAATGTGCTGAGGTTTTAAGATTTGATATGCACAAATCTGTCTATGAAGTTGTGAGAAAGAAAAATTTGTGCAGCTCTGCTGTTGTACCTCCAACTGCAGAAGTTAGGGGCACAGTGCTAAGTGCTTGGGTAAGGTGACTCACAGGGCTCAGTACTTTTTGCAGTTCCAGGCGTCCACTGGATGTGTAAGGATGTGTCCCCAATGATGAGGGGACTGCTGTATATATTCCTGTTAGCTCATCTGTAAATAAAATGATCAGGAAATTTAGGCTGTCTTTGAGTTGTGTGTTGGTGGGCTCTCTGAATTTATTAAAGGGTAAAAATACTTTTTTTCTCTCCTAAGCAAAATGCACATTAAAAACTCCATGTGCCCTGTGCTTGGTAAAGCTGTGCTACTTGGATGCCCTCTGAGGCTTGCCCGTGCGGTGGCACAGTGCATCAGTGTCGAGGCTCATGGAGAGGTGAGATGTGGCTCTGGACAGTCACGTTTTTATAGAACTTCTTTTTTACCCAGCATAATCAGTTCATTAAAACAGTGGTGATTGGAGAGGTCTGCTTAGGTCTCAGAAGCCTGTGTAGCAGGGGTTGCTGTGAATTCTCAGCCAGAAACAGTCCTGTCTTGGAAGCTCCACTAGGTGCTTTCCTTTCCTCCAGTGATGCTCCAATTCAGCTCGCACATACCTTCTCAAGGCCTGGGGGCTGGGCTGAGGCTGGTGGGGCCTCTGGGTGGCTGGATTTCTTTCTCTGGTTCCATGGTGACTTTCCGTTTTCTTTAAAGTCACACTGTGGCACAACTTCAGACCCTTTTTCCCCACCAGAGAGAACAGCGGTGACACAGTGGCAGGAGTGGAAGGAACACAGCTGCCACACTCACAGCTGCCTCTTTTTCAGAAAGTGTATTGCTGATGTGTGTGGTTTATTGAAAGGAACAGTCAATGCTTAAAATTTTCTTTTTTCTTGACCAATTTTGTCCGCTTGAATCTGGTAATCAGAATGACTGATCTGAAAACAATAATATGCAGTATAAGAACCATTGTTAAGCTCTGCATCATTTCCAATTTTTTTTTTTTTTTAATTACTTGTTACTGTCTTTGGTCAATCTCACATTCTTACATCTGGTGGACTGAGCATCTTCATTGACGATAACAGTATGTAATGTAGCAGCCATTGTTAATTACTATCATTTTGTTTTGAGGTCATGTACCATTTTTGTGGTTTTTGTGTTTTGATTTTGTCTTCATTGTTCTTTTGTTAGTTTTTTTAATTTTTAAAATAAATTTTTTTGGTGGTGTTGGTAATCCAGTTCAGAGGCTTGTGCAGGATACACAAGTGCTGTATCACCGAACTACATCTCCAGCCCCTACTAATGCTTTTCAGAAGTATTTCTAAAATTTAAATATTTTTCACTTTAAAAAGTACTGTATTTGTTATCTGGGAATTTTAATTAAAATACCTATTAATATGGCTGGATGAATTAAATATTAGTCAGGTTGAGTTAATAAAATTGTAGACAAAATGTTCCATTAGTTAAGACACTTAAGATTTTTATAGACATATTCATTTGAAATTAAGATGTTTCAAAATATGTGACAAGCTATTCATAAGGATATCTAGTAAAGTATTTGTTTGTATTAGTTACTGGGCATAGAACCCAGGGCATTCACACTGAACCACACTTGAAGCTTTTTTTGGTTTTTTGAGACAGGGTCTTGCTGTGTAGTTCAGGCTGGCCTTGAACTCACTGTGTAACCTAGGCTGACCTCCAACTGACAGCAATCCTCTTGCCTTAGCATTCTTGGTCTTGGGATTACAAGAGTGTGCCACCATGCCTAGCTACTTAAAATTTTTTTGAGATAGAGTTTTGCTAAGTTGATAATTTATCCAGGTTGGGCTCGAATTTGAGATGGCCTGCCTAAGCCTCCTAGAGTGCTGGAATTACAGGTATGTACCACAAGAGTTTGTAATTCAGACACAACTTCATTTAGTTCAAATTAATGGGGCTATAGAACTGCCTCCGGAAGATACATATACATGAGAAAGATACTGCTTGGTCTTACCTTGAAAGGTTCCTTATTCCCTTAATCTTACAGATGCATAGTTTTTAAAGCATTTTTTCCCTTTTGTCTTAAACATGTTACCATTTACCATTTTATATCCAGGAAGATGGACATTTCATCCACAGTGGATGGGTTTATGTCCAAAAATACTTGCCCTTCTAACTGTGTCAAGGATATATCCAGGATAGATAAGGTCTGCTAGTTATTAATTGGTTATGGGAAATTCATTGCATTAAGTCCATATTGGTGTAGTTTTAAAGTTGCATGAAGAAGCCAAGTAAGCCTGGTGCTGTTGGTGTGGTAGCACAAGACAGTCATTGTATTTGGTAGCCAGTAGGATCATGACTTGTTTTTGTTTTCTTCTCTTTAAATGTTACTTAAAAAAAAAAAAAATTGAACTGTAAGCTAGAAAACATCTAAAAAAACAGAGATACCAAGTGTTTGAATGGAGCACTCATTTCAACCCATATGTTCAGCATTACTGACATATATTTCACAGACCATAAAATTTACCCATCTCAGGGTATGGTTTAGTACCGTTGGGTTTAGTGTATTTACAAATTTGCATCTAAATCTTGAGAACACTGTCAGCAGCCCAGAAGAGACCATGTACACACTGATTGTGAACCCCTATTTCTGCCCCCACCCACACCCCCAAAAGTCACAGTCATCCACTTTCTGTCTCTGGACTTGCCCGTCCCTTGGGTCTGACTTCTTTCACTGGAGAGTGGTACTTCCAAGATTCCTCTGTGTGGCTGCGTGCATCATGACTTCATTCCTTCATAGAGGTAACGAGACTCTTGTATAGACGTCTACCCCTCCTCACTCATTCATCGGCAAGGGACGCTGAGGGTTTACTCTCTGTGATTGGGAGAATGCTGCTGTTGTCTCCTCGCCCCACCCCACCCCTTTTTTTTGAAGCAGGGTCTTGCTATGCAGCCCAGGCTGGCCTCGAACTCACAGCAATCTTCTTGCCTTAGCTGGGATTATACACAGCACTCATTTCTCTGATTCTTTCATTTCACTGATTATGTGTCTTGGAATAGAATTGCTGGTTCCTAATAAGGTAACTCTTTGTTTTCCCAAATGGCTGTACCCAATTTAACCTTTTTTTTTTTGGTTTGGTTTTTGAGATGCAATCTCATGTAGTTGAAGCTGGCCTTGAACTCTTGGCAGTTTTGCTGCTTCAGCCTCCCGAGTGTGAGGATTATAGGCATGCGCCACCCCATCCAGCTTTTTTTGTTTTAGGTGTAATATGAATAAAGTGCACAGACTACAAGAAGACAGCTCAGTAAATTTTTATACCGTATATATCTCTGTAATCACCCAAATTGATACAGCAACATTTCCCCCACAACAAAGGCTCTCTTCTGCCCTTTCACAGCCAGAACAGCTATTTCGACTTCTTTCACCTGAATGGTTTTACGGCTTGTTCCTATATTGGGCACTTGAGTGGGGTCTCTTGTATGTGGGTTCTTTTGTTCCATAGTCGGTTGTGTGACTGAGTGCAGTTTGTCTGTGTTAATGCATATTTAGGGTTTTTTCCTTCAGGCTGTCGTTTTGGAAATAAATCTGTCATCATGTGCTTTTTGGTGGACATATACCCACCCCTTGAAATACCCAGGAGTGTAATTTTTGGTCATTGGGCAGACGCATTTATCTTTAGTATGGAGCACTGCTGTTACTAATGCTTGAGTTTCCTGATGAGAAAAGAAGGCTGCAGTCCAAGCCAGATTTCCTGGGTCTGTTTCTTTAAAGACCATCCCTTAAACACCAAGTTGTCTTGGGGATTCTGCAGATGTCTACTCACAAAAGACCACCTCAATTCTGTGACCCTCACAAGAGAACTCTCCCTGAGGGCTTGTTGCAATGAAAAGCTGAAATTACAGTGGTACCTCGGTTCCTGAACTTTATTCTCTTCAAGATTCTGGTCACAAACTGAATTGGACAAGAACCAAATCAAATTTCCCTGTAAGATCAACATTGGACCTAACCATTGAATTTGATTTGTTTCTTGTCCAATTCAGTTTAGGACCAGAATTGTAGAAAGAATTAAGTTTGTGAACTGGGGCACCACTGTATGGTGATGAGTTTACACCATACAATGCTTTTGAAATTTTTTAAATTATAAACCTGAGATTTTTGAGAATCTCTGAATTCTTAAAAAGTACCATTGTGGCACAGTTAGTGCCTATAAAATGAAGAGTGGCCAGATAAATAGCAAGAAAATGTCTTCTTACATTTTAACCCACCATTATTTGAGCCCAGCAAAATTGTTTCTCTAGTAGAGTTAGCATTGCTCCTTACATATGCCATTGATAATTAATTTCAGGAGGGATTAAATGTTACATGTATAAAAATGTTAAGGGGTAAAGTAATAGAAAAAAATCTGTTGAAAGTAGATATGAGCAGTACTTAAAGTCAGAATCTTTGGCCTAGAGCAGTGATACTGAACCTTTTAGAGTTTTCAGTAAGGGCTGCAGATACAGCTCAGTGGCACAAGCGCCGGCAAGTGCAAGGTCCCGAGTTCAATTCCTGGTACCAAAAAATATATATAGAAAGAGAGTTTTCAGTGATACAGAGTCTGCTGCGGCACACATGCTGTAGGTTTGCTGCCACTGGCCTAGAGATCAGTTTAAGGCGGTTGGTTGGAGTGGATCATTTCATAGTATTCTAAAAATTAGGCTTCTTTGGGAAGAAGGTGGTAGGACTTTCTTAACCTAGGCAAGTCATGTATGCATATAAATTTCAAATACAGCTAATGACCTAAGTGGATTTTTTTACCAAAAAGGAAGTAATGGTTCTGTCCCATTCCGGATATGTTACTCGTTTGTGTGTCATGTATTGTCTTACCAAGAGGCTGTACAAGTGTCTGGCACCACAGACATGATACCTGAGAGCCTATTTCTCAATGGCTGCATAATACTCATTTGAAGATGCCATGATTTATTCAGCCCATCTTTTCTCTGTCATTAGATGTTTAGCTTATTCCTAACTTTTCAACATTGTAAATAATTCTGTGAACAATATCTCTTTGCATCAGATCAGATGCCTGTATTTTGGATCATTGGTACTAGATAAGAAATAACTACTAATTGAATTATTTCTTGCTTTTTGTTGAGCAAAAATCATATTAAAAAGAAACTAGGCTTAACATTTTTGCTTAAATTATATTTCGGCGCAAGTGTATACCTCACACATGCACTGACACACACCTGCAGTACTGGTTGAATCTGGGACCTTTACATTGAACTGCATCCCCATCTCTTTATTTTTTATTTTGAACAGGATCTGGCTAAATTGCCCAAGGTGGACTTAGATTTGCAATTCTCCTGCCTCAGCCTACCAGAATGCTGGGATTACATGTGTGGACCACTATACCTGACCTCTGGTCATTTAAACTT